GGGGGGGGGAGGGGAGAAAGTTTCTTTCGTAATAAATGGAGTTGTGAAACAAATGCACCGTGGGTACATATCAACAAGGATTTTATCCAGGTTAATAGAACCAAAAACTGGATGTCACTAGGGAAAAGAAACTCCATCTCTATCTCCTTAATGGAAAAAGGGTGACCTGCTAGGGGTTGGGAAGCTGGTAAGGTCTGGGGCCCAAGACTGTATGAAGCTGGATATAATCAGCGTTCTTGCAGTATGCTCAGGTAACGGTGTTATTTTTCATTTTACTTTGATGGCACCGATACCTAGAACAATAGAAGACCACCAGTACTGGGGGTTTCTTTGGGTGTGTTATCTCTAATCCTATGGCAGTTTGGTCAAGGTCAGCCACTGTCTCCCCAAGTTCATCTTTTAGACCAAATTTCTGGAAGGAAGGACCACACAGTTTTGCTTCATCAACATAAACACCCAGGAGGGATTAAATCAACAGAGGTGCTTCTAGTATTCTGCCTGCCAGTACATGAGGTTTAGGCCTTTGTTACCTTAATAATTATATACAACATTCCATGCTATTCCTGCTCTACACAAATTGGGGCAGGAACATTTAGTTCTACAGACACTCCAGAATGCCACCTAATCCCATCTCAGATGGAAGGAGCTGTATAGGAGCTCTGACAAACTGTGTTACTCCCATACTCCAGTGGGTAAACAAATATATCCATGTGTCCTTGGATTATCTACCCGGCCATGTCTATTGGCATGTGGCATGTCTTTAGGGGCTAGAGATTCAAGGGACAGACATACCAGTTTATCTGTTCCCTCCTTAACTACAAGATTGGTGGGATTTGATACCCATCTGAGACACTCTATAAATAGTTTGGGAGTTTTTACCCTTCTTGGTTGCTTGCTTATTTTGCCACCTCACAGCAAGGACCATCTTATTCACCTTTCAAGCTGAGGGATGAGCTCACGGCCTTTAGCTTCTCCTCTGTGAATCTGTGCAATTCCAGAGAGTATCACCCAATTATGAAGGCTCTTGAGAAGACATCCAGGTCCATAGATCTTCCCACATCTCTTTCTCTGTAAGGGTTAGGGGTTGGCCAACCACTGTTGTAGTACCCAAACAAGGAATCATGAAGTTACACTTTTAGAAATGATTCAGCACTATAGTATTTACTCAGACATGACTGTAGTTTGACTATAATGGATCATTGTATATAAAGAACATTATAGGTTAGAACAAAACTGCCAGCTGGTGACAACAAATTGCAGTCCTCAACAATATCCTACTCTTCTGTTTCCCAGATTTCAAGAGGGCAAAGGGTGTTAGTTCATGGGTATTATGTCCCTAACCAAAAGGCCACACAGCTCCAGACTTGGACAATAGATGGAGGGTTGCTGTAAGTCAGAACCAACTTAACAGCAAAAAGTTTTTGAGTTTAAAGCAGGCTTTTTAAATTCTCTAGAAAAAGAAAGTTTATCTTCTATATAAGAAGACCTGATGGTACAAAGGCTAAGTGTTTAAAGCTGGACTACTAAGACAAAAACAACTGCAGTCCCATCAAAATCAGCTCATATCTAACTCTGAGTTGTTAAATCTTTAAAGTGAATGTTGTTGTTAGCTGCTGTCAAGCTGAGTATGACTCACAGTGACCCTATGAACAACAGACCTGAACCTTACTCTATCTTGTGTCATCCTCATCATCTCTGACACACTCAAGCCCATTGCTGAATTCATTGTCAATTCATCTTGCTGGAGGTCTTCCTCTGTTTCACTAACACTCATCTTTCCAAACATAATGTCCCTTTCAAGGGATGTCTACTGTTCTGTTAAGAACCTTATCTGAGAAGCTGGACTCTATAAAGAATGTGATATCAAGATTGGAAAAGACTCAACAATGATCTTTATTATGCAGATGACACAACCTTGTTTACTGAAAGGAGGACTTAACACACTTGCTGCAGGTTAAACACGGCAGCCTTCAATATGGATTGCAATTTAAAGTAAAAAATAAAAATCCTGGCCACAGGACCAGTAGGCAACATCTAACAACTTCAACTTAAGTGGATCCACAATCAGCATTCTTGGTATCAGCAGTCAGGGGCCTCTCCAAATTATTGAAGAGCAATGCCAGTTTGAAAACTACAGTGTGCCTAATTCAGACCATGGTCTTTTCACTCACTTGCTATGGATCTGAGAGCTAGACAATGAATAAGGATGACAGACTTGATGCTTTGAAATGTGGTATTGGACAAGAGTACTCAATATCCCATGGACTTCCAAAAGGACTGTTGTGACACAGAGGAGGTGTAGGCAGAGTGCTCCTTGGAGGCAAAGATGATAAAGCTTTATCTTTCACGTACTTTGGGCATATGTCTATAAGGAGGACATCATGCTTGGAAAGGTGAAAGTAAAGGGGAGGAAGACTAGGGATAGAGTGGACAGAGTGCCTGCAGCATTAGGCTTGAGTGTGCCGGAGATTGTGAGGATGGCATAGGATAAGATGGAGTTTAGACCTGTTGTTCCTTAGGACTACTACAAGTTGTACTTGACTCAATGGCATCACAACAAAACAGAAGTGGTTTTGAAGAGCCAGAGAAGTGCCATCTTTGGTTTAATAAGGTATTTCCATAAAGATTGCATCACCAGAGCTTCAAGCTAAGATAAAGATTGATGGCTTAAATCCACCCAGAAGTTCTGCTGGTCTGCTCAACAGTGCTCAACAAAAACAATCTTTTTCTGCTTCTGCTGCAGTGTTTTTCAGATTCTCTTCCCTTTTTGAAAAAAAAAAAAAAAAGAGTTCAGGTTCCCTGGATAATCCAGTACACGAGATCATAAGTGGTGCCTTTCTGATGAAGATGATAGCAGGAGTCACAACAGAAGAGTGCTCAAGAGGATTTTTCAGAAACATCTGCCACTGTACACAAATGTTCAGTAGAGTTCCTCAGATGCTGAAGTTTTATCTCATTTATCTATATTTCCCAAGTGCTTCTGGATGACCTGGACCTCCCACCTTTAAGATGGTAGTGGTTATCTGGATCATCTAGGGATAATATATGACTTTGCATCACTCAAAGGCACAGGAGAAATGCATAAAGAGTTCTGCTCTGTAGGAGAAAGGCAGTTCCTATGTAAAGTCATTTTGATGACCAAGAAGAGGTAACAGCCAAGCCTGAGTTTTAAAGGAGAGGTTTGGGAGAAAGAAGTAGATTAAGAAGTCAGAGATGACAAAATTTTCCACTTAGAAGCCATGGTGGCACAGTGGTTAGGTACTACAGAGGTAACTGAAAAACCAAGAGGTTCAAACTCAACAGCTATTGTGTAAGAAAAAGATGTGACAGTCAACTTCCATAAATTACAGTCTTGAGAATTCTCTGGGACAGTGCCACTGTCCCATATGGCCCCCATCATTTGGATAGGCTTGGTTTTCATATGTGAATAGTCAGAACTATCTCAGAAAACAGGCTTGGTGGTCTCCTTCCTATAAAGCAGGTTTGGAAACTATATAGTAAACACATATAATACATATTGGCCAGTAGCAAGAATAGTGTTTTCCCCCTATAGGTCTCATTTCTGTTATGCTGTTTTTGTGTAGATACTTGCTGTCTGAGTTCTACATCCATATATGCCTGTTGGAAGGGGGCGTTAACCTCAGTAGCATACACTGTGGTCTGTCCTACAATGAACCCCTTATTCTACAGTGTGGGAAATTATGATATGGAGTGATTACTGAAGATTCTCTATAGTGAAGTCTTCCTTCCAGTAATAGCACCAATACAACATCCTGTGCTGTAAGAGTATACAAGGGTGAAGAAATTGAGAACTAACCAGTATGAATGTTTAGGTTTAATTTTTTACAACTTAAATATTTAATTTTTTACATCTATTTTACTCAAGTTAAAAGTTTACTTATCACATTGGTTTTTCAATTATTCATTCACTCACAGGCATTAATTACTATTGACTGAGGCAATTAACTTTTTACAATACCTAACCAAATTCATACTTTATCACCCTCCTTCTCTACTTATTTTTCTTCTTTTTCTCCCCATAACCCACTTCATCTATAGTGTATAAACTGATACTGTTCTAGAAAAAGGATGGTTATGGAAGAGTTGAAGAGATGGTCAATCTAAATGCACAAATGGTCAGACATTATGTGTATTACAATTAACAATCTGGCTTGAAATCCTAGTGTGCCCTTAATACACACTTTGATATACTGTTCCATGATGGCTTTTTTAGGCCCCTTAATTTTGGGTTTTCCACATAGTTGGAGGATAGTACCTTAATAAGATGTGAAGATTATTATAAGATAGGACAGTTTTCCTATCCTATCAAGTCAGTGGTCAACACCCTACACTTCTCTATTCCATGTGCTCAACAGGTGACTTTGTTTCTGGAACATGGCCAAGACATTCATAGCTGCTTGCTATATCATTCACTTAACATTCTAAAAATGTCACAAGAAATACAGTTTTAAACTAGTAAATCCTAGTAATTTTAAACTAGCAAATACTACATGAAATGTCCTAAATGTAAATGAAAAAAAAAAAAACCAACCAAAAACATAAAACTTTTCTATGAAGAGTATGATTATTTACATGCACAAAACACCATCAATTAGAAACCTAAAATTTTATAAAAAGGTATTTTGTAAGCCATATTTTCTACAGTTTTACTGATATGAATTAACTTTAAAAAATTAGAAATTGGAATTCAGCAATACACATGAAAAGCAAATTTACACTAATAATGCAACTTTCTATTTATGCCAATGGTGGAATAGACCTAGCTTGAGGATATACAGAAGTACTCCACACCTTTATCCTTCATTACATATGTAAAGGCCTTTGCACTGATAGTTCTCCAAAGTGAAGTGATGAGGAAGACCCAAATGATTTTCTAAATACCTTCTTCATCTGTCCTCTCCTCTAGTGTGAGTTCCATGATGATGAATGAAGGCTGAGGACTGAAGGCGTTCCACATTTCTTACATTCATACAATTTGTCTACAGAATAAGTTCAAATATATCCAGTGAGGAATGATGAACAAATAAAGGATTTTTCATGTTGCTTACATTGTTAATATATCCTTTTTGTGAATTTGTGTCTAATGAGGGAATCTGATCATGGAAATGTTTTCTCACATACTTACATTCATAAGGTCTCTCTTCTCTATGAGTTCTTTTATGAGTAGTGAGAGTACCAGTATCACGAAAGGTTTTCCCACATTCCTTACATTCGTAAGGTCTCTCTCCTGTATGAATTCTTCTATGTGCAGTGAGGTTATCTGATCGTGAAAAGGTTTTCCCACATTCCTTACAAACATAAGGTTTCTCTCCTGTGTGAATTCTTCTATGTGAGGTGAGAGTACCAGATCGCCGAAACGTTTTCCCACATTCCTTACATTCATAAGGTTGCTCTCCTGTGTGAATTCTTTTATGTGCAGTGAGGGCACTACTATCGTGAAAGGTTTTCCCACACTCCTTACATTCATATGGTTTCTCTCCTGTGTGAATTCTTCTATGTGCAGTGAGTTTACCTGATCTCAAAAAGGTTTTCCCACATTCATTACATTCATAAGGTCTCTCCCCTGTGTGAAGTCTTCTATGTGCGGTTAGGGTACCAGTGTCACAAAAGGTTCTCCCACATTCCTTACATTCATAAGGTCTCTCACCTGTGTGAATTCTTCTATGTGTAGTCAGGGCACTAGAATGCCGAAAGGTTTTCCCACATTCCTTACATTCATAAGGTCTCTCACCTGTGTGAATTCTTCTATGTGTAGTCAGGGCACTTGACTGCCGAAAGGTTTTCCCACATTCCTTACACTCGTAAGGTCTCTCTCCTTTATGTATTCTGCAATGTGCATTGAGGTTATTTGACTGCAAAAAGGTTTTCCCACATTCTTTACATTCATAAGGTCTCTCTCCTTTATGTATTCTGCAATGGGCATTAAGGTTACTTGACTGCAAAAAGGTTTTCCCACATTCCTTACATTTGTAAGGTCTCTCTCCTTTATGTATTCTGCGATGTGCATTGAGATTACCTGATTGCAAAAAAGTTTTCCCACATTCCTTACATTCATAAGGTCTCTCTCCTGTGTGAATTCGTCTATGTGCAGTGAGTGCACCTGATTGCAAGAAAGTTTTCCCACATTCCTTACACTCATAAAGTCTCTCTCCTGTGTGAATTCTTCTATGTGCATTGAGGGAACCCGACTGCAAAAAGGTTTTCCCACATTCCTTACACTTATAGAGTCTCTCTCCTTTGTGATTTCTGCGATGTACAGGGAGGGTACATGAGTGCAAAAAGGTTCTCTTATATTCATAAGGTCTCTCTCCTTTATAATTTCCACAAAGTAGAGTGAAGTTACCCGACTGTGGAAAAGTTTTCCCATATTCCATACATTCATAAGGTTTCTTACCAGTGTGCATTATTGCATGTCTCCTTAGGAGTGAGAAATAAATAAAGGATTCCCCACATTCCTTATACTGATATAGACTCTCTCCACTAAGAATTCTTCTGTGTAGGGAGTGATGTAATGTATTAGTAACAAGTGAGGAATAAGGAATAGGTTTCCCATTTTCTTTACATTCATGAGGCTTATTTGCAAAATTAAATGCTTTAGGGAAAACTAAGAAAGGAGGATTACAGGTTTCAGAACCTTCTGTACATCCATGCTCATCTACCACATGTATCCAAAAGGATGAAATGGTATAGAAGTCTTTCCCACATTTGTTACATTTATAGCCTGTTTCATTAAAGCAAGTCCTCAACAGATTTACATCTAGATGATTGCTTTGCTCCTCGTTAAGATATGGAATCTTGAAGGAGGTTCTGGTAGGGTGACTATCTTCAGTTCCTTCACAGAGGTTCTGGATTGTGTGACTTCTGGTAAAAAATAGACAACAGCTAGTTGAAAAGAAAAGTACTATTTATAATAACATAATCAAAATGCATAGGTTTTGTCCCACAGAGACTCACATGACATGAAACTAGCAAAAATACTGTTACTGCTATAGCGTTGATAAATCATGAGACTTTCTGTTAGCTGTGTCCAAAGTTAATTATATTTCCTACTATTTTTTCCCATTTGAATGACACTTACCTCAAATAGTCCTTTTGGTGTTTACGCAGATCTTCTTTTCCATACAATTTGGAAATGTCTTTTAACATGGAGGGCCAGGGATGGATAGTCTTTAAGAATTGCATCAACAGATTTTCAGTGGATAATACTCCAACATTAACATTCTGAATGCCTGACATAAAAACTGAGGTTGAACAAAGTGAAACAGAAAGGAAAGGAAATATTATTAGATAAACTGCTGTAAACAAACATCAGTGTAGCCACACTGTCAACGTTCCAGCACTCTGATAATGGATTTTAAAAAAATCCAAGTGACACTGTATTTAAATTATTCAAGAACAAATTAAAAATCAATGTTAATGAGTAATTTTGTACATTAAAAGGATTTAAAAATAGATAAAATGCCATTTTTTACCTATTAAATTCAGGGTTTTCAAGGTTTCCATCATCACATCCCTGTAGAGTTTCTTTTGAGCAACATCGAGCAAAGTCCACTCTTCCGGGTTAAAGATCACAACCACATCCTCAAGGAATAATGGTTCCTAAAACACCCAACATAGTCTGATTCAGCAAGGTACCATGCATACCAAAACAAGACAGCCTAACAGCCCTAGAAAACTAAGAAATAATAGGGATTTCAACAACTTGGGTATTCTACCACTATCTACTCAGTCTTGTTCTTTAACTACATTCACTCGCTCAGTGATTACATTCTATACATCAGATTTACCACATACTGAAGTAATCTGTGGTTACTTCTGGTGTAAACATTTGGATACCTACTCCTCTCCATGGTCTAGTACATGAAGGAGAAAGAAGAATTCAAAGCTTTATTGTTAAGAAAAATAAATTTTGTCTTTTCTGAAAAGAGCTCTAAGAACAGTTATATATAAAATATAGGCTGAAATAAAGATGAAGTATTAACATCATTCAGGCACTAAATAAATAATGTTTTACCTGTAGTGTTTGTTTAGTTTCTCATAGATATTAAAGTACCAAAAGTCTGCAAAATTCATAGCAGCACAAGGCCTTGTGCTAGCCATATTTTTGTGACAACTAGCACAGGAGAAAGGAAGAAGTCCATGTACTGAGAAAAAAAGACTACACCGGAGAATTATAAACTCATTCATGCCAACAATAGATTTTTCTAAATCTCAGAGTCTTTTTCTTCCCTACTTCATCGATCTATACAGAAAAAAAAGTAATAAAGTTATCAAGATCATACATAAAATAAGTAGCATGAAATCCAGACTTCTCACAATTCTAACATGCCTGATTCCTACACAATTGGAAGCCAATTACCAATGATTGCTTCTCTCAAATATAATCATACAAATACAGTAGAGGTTACAAATAAGAAAATTTCATCGAAAAGAAAGAGGCAGTACATTCCCATTTGGTAAGAGGTACACAACAGACTGAAAGCAATCAACATACTAAAAGTTACACACATATGTACGTGTGTGCATGTTAGCATGCATAATGAGAGGACAGAGGAAACCTATTCCAGTCTGAATTAACACAAGCAATTTGGCTTAGTTTAAAATGAACTAACAGAAAAAAAGATTTTTCAATTACTAATCCATTAACAGTATTAACTGTAAGTATTTTCTTTTTGCTCATGGTTTGGAGGTGTTGGGGTTCTTTTCCTTTTTACAAACACTAAATTCAGATTTATGATTCAATGCATTAAGACTTTTCTCTGTGACTTTATGAGGTTCAAGATGATTTTATAAAACTTGAAACTTAGACAAAGGACATCTTCCAGAAAGGGGGGGAGGGGGAAAATTAGGGGATAATATAACAAGAATTAATGTTAGCCATCAACCAGGAGAATTCCAAAACCCAGAAAAGCAAATCGAATAATTCAGAGGAAAAACAGACAGTAGAGGCTCAAACTTTTGTCTTGTAAGTTTTAAGAACAGAATTATCTCTCCTAAAAAGATACATTGAAGTTCTAACCCTTAGAATCTGTGCACATGAACTTGTTTGGAAATAGATCTTGAGGATGTTCATATGAGAACCACTGAGTAGGGTTATACCAATATAAGCAGTTTTGTTATAAATGATATGAAGAAAAACAGACAGAAGGGAGGCAGTCATTTGAGGCCAGTTACACTGCAGCTGCAAGCCAAAGAATGAATCATGTGAGTCATCAAAACTATAGAAACACCAGAAAAGACCTATAGCCTTTGAATAATTGTCTTGCAAATACCATGATTTGACTTCTCTGTGACTCCTAGTATTAAGTAACTGAACTGCCAACACAAAGGCACTTAGTTCAAATATACTGGCTGTTCCAAGGAAGAAAGATGGAGGATCTCTTCTTGTGTAATTTTCAACCTCTGAAAACCTGCTGAAGGGTTAGTGATGAGTCCTTTGAGACTTAACAGTAATCACAACAACCTTCTAGCCATGACAGTTACAACTGCTTCATATGCATGTGAATGTCTGACAATAAAGAAGACTTAAAAAAAAATTGATGCCTTTCACTGTTTTGTTTGCAACTCATAGTGACCCTATGTACAATAGCACTGAACTCTGCACTACCTAGAGCCAATCTCATTGTCTCTAACACACCTACTCCATTACCTCAGTTACTGAGTCAATCTAACTAATACAAGGTCTTCCTCTCCGGTGCTGTCTCTTCCACCCTTCCAAGCATGATGTTCTTCTACAGGGACTGGTCCCTCCTGGCAAGATGCCCAAAATATGTGAGACAGGGCTTCAAAATCCTTGCCTCAAAGGAGTAACCTGATTTCACCCTTTCCAGGACAGACCTGTTTGTTCTTTCAACAGTCCATAGTGTGTTCAGTACTCTTCTCCAGCATCACAACTCAAAGGCATTGATTGATTCTTCTTTAATCGTTAGTCTAGCTCTATGATTAAATTGGGACTTATAGCAATAGTAACTTATAGCAAGTAATTGTGAAGAATAAACAAATTTGTCTTGGAGGATTTATAACCAGAATATGTCTTAGAAGCCAAGACTAATTGGATATGTTTGTTTCACATACTTTGGATATGTTATAAAGTCCTTAGAAGGGGACATAATTTTTGGAAATATAAAACATCACTGAAAGGAAGGTTCTCAATAAGATAAACTGACCATGCAAACATGGGTTTAAGTATTGCAGAGATTAGGAGGATGGAGCAGAATTGGATAAGGTTTCATCCACTGTACAAAGGCTCTCTAGAAATTAAGAGTCAACTCAAAAGAACCTAGTAACAACAACAGCAACATTCCCTAACTAAGACAACAAATTATGTAGAGGACACAACCTTGCTTGCTGAAAGTTAAGGGGATCTGAAATGCCTGCTGCAGAAGATCAAAGACAACATCAAAACAAAGGTCTTTACCAGTGGGTGAATAGGCAGCATCATAAGAGTTTAAGAAAGACTGAAACTGTCAATGATTTCCTCTTCTTGGATCCATAATCAGTACCCATAGAACCAGCAGTCAGGAGATACATTGCTTTGTGAAAGTCTTCTGTCAGGGACTTCTCAAAAAAAAAAAAGAAAAGCAATGAAGACTAAGGTGTGCCTGATTCAGATCATGGTCTTTTCAATCACTTGCTGTGCATCTAAAAGCTGGCAATGAAAAAGGATGACAGAAGAAAAGTTGAAGCCTTGAGTTGTGTTGGGGAAGAATACTGAATACTCCATATATGGCGAAAATAAGTTACTTCTTGGGAAAAGTGCAGCCAAAGTGTTCTTTGAAGGTAAAGATGACAAAAGCATGTCTCTCATAATTATTTAATTACGAAGTTTTTATTATATATGGGTATCGTCACAAAAACATTTAAAGTATGTTGAAATTCAGCACATTACCTGGGAAATTATCCAGGTAGCCCATAAAACACACATTTAAATGGTGACCTTCTTGAGGTCCTATTCCAGGATTCCCTCACATATGTATGTGGTGAAAAGCAGACAAATACAGCTCCCTGAGCATGAACTAATGGAATACTGGGGTTGTTAATAGGATCTACGAAAATACCACTAATACATTTGCTTTTTCCTAGAGTCATGAGAAAATGATCAATAAGCTTAAAGTTGGTGCTAGAACCAACCTGCTATTGAGTAAAAAGATATGCCATTAATTAACTAACTTACAGTTAGGTCATTAAACACTTTCAAATTCATTATTAGTATGATGCTGCCGCTGCTGCTGCTGTTGTTGTTAGGTGCCATCAACCTGAGTACAATTCATAGCGACCCTAAAGATCAACCAATCTGAACACTATTCTATCCCATGCCATTCTCACAATCTGACACACTCAAGACCACTGCTGCAGTCATCATATGAGACCACTTGGTTAAGGATCTTTCTTTCATTCACCATCC